TGAACCAGCAGATGGAAGACCTCTCTCTCTGTCTCTACCTCTCTCTGTAACTCTTTCAAATAAATAAAAGAAATCTTTAAAAAAAAAAAAAAAAGAAACAAGAGTTAATATTCAGGTGGTTTAGATAAAATTCCTAGACAAAAAAAATTAGAATTTCCAAAAGATCCATCATAATTCAATATCCACTGTGTAAATTATAAGATAATCTAAGATTATTCTTCTTGGCCTTTGTTAAACCATTCTTTAGGTTTTGAACTTGTAAAACTACTCTGTTCTTAACATACCTGCAGGAGTACATTGTTTTACTTCAAATACATACATACATATTTATATTACAAAGGACAGCAAATTAAGCTCTCTTTACTAATTACTATTGATGGTATCAAGAACTATGAGGGTCAGAGATTTTACCCTGCTTATCAGCTAAGAATTTAGCCTACCAGTTTCACGGAAACTGGCCAAAAGCATGAGACACCAGGGTCAGAGACAAAAGACTTTCATTATTCATACAGCACAGAAAGTGACATGACCTTTGTGTTTGGGTTCCCACTAAGTCCCATGGTGAGTAAACAGAGGCAGGTTTAGAAATACACTGCACACAGTGAGCTTACATCACAGCTGAGGGACTTTAAGTTTAGGAAATCCTAATCTTTTATAAGGGGGCTGAAGCAAATCCACCTAACCCTTGCCTCAAGGGACATATGTATGCCCTCTGCCTGTCAAACCTCAAGGCTAAACATTCTTGAAAAGAGTCCTGCACAAAAGCTAGCACCATTAGTGCCTAAAGAAACTGCAGGTACTATCCACAAAAGTTCTAAACTAAGGATACCACCTTCCACATTGGCTTTTGGTAGACTTAAATAAGATAATATGGGTGAAAGAGCTTAGTACTAAGTGTTTAACCAATGTTGGCCACTATTATTGTATAATACCTTAGCACATACTCAGATGTAAGATCTTTAATATTCTGGCTTTCCTCACTCTGGCTTTATGAAAATGTATACTTTTTTCCTTTAGAGTAGGCTTTACTTTTTAAGGCCAGTTTTATGTTCACAGCAAAAGTGAGACAAAGGTTAGGAATTACCTTTTTATCCTCTGCCCTCACATGTGAATAGTCTCCCCCAATATCAACATCTCTCACCATGGTGGTACATTTGTTACAACTGATATATCCACACTGATTCACAGTTTACATGATGTGTATGATACCTATCCACCACTGCAGCTATCATAAAGAAGAGTTTCACTGCCCTAAAAATAATCTGTACTTTGCTTATTCATTCTTCCATTCCCTACCAACTCTTAGCTGGCATTCATCTTTATACCTTTTCCAGAATGTCATATGGTTGGAATCACACAGAATGATTCCTTTTATCTTTTTTGAAAAAATACTCTTATTTATTTTGAAAAGCACAGTTAGAAAGACAGAGAGAGAGAGACAGAGATATCTTCCATCTGCTGGTTCACTCCCCAAATGGTTGCAATGGCTAAAGCTGGGCCAGTCCAAAGCCAGGAGCCAGGGGCGTCTTCTGGGTTTCCCCTGTGAGTGCAAGGACTCAAGTACTCGGACCATCTTCCACTACTTTGCCAGGTGCATTATCAGAGAACTGGATCAGAAGTGGAGGAGCCAGGACTCAAACGGGTGCCATATGGGATGCCAGTATTGCAGGCGGTGGCTTTACCTGCTGTGCTGCAGTGCCAGCTCCTTTATGATTCTTTTAGAAAACATTAAAGAATTCTAAAGGACAGGCTCTACCATGGCATAGTAGGTTAATCCTCCACCTGTAGCGCCAGCATCCTATATGGGCGCTGGTTCTAGTCCCGGTTGCTCCTCTTCCAATTCAGTTTTCTGCTGTGGCCTGGGAAAGCAGAAGATGGCCCAAGTCCTTGGGCCCCTGCATCCACTTGGGATACCGGGAAGAAGAACCTGGGTCCTGGCTTCGGATTGGTGCAGCTCAAGCCGTTGCGGCCATTTGGGGAGTGAACCAACAGATGGAAGAATTTTCTGTTATTCCCTCTCACTGTCTGTAGCTCTACCACTCAAATAAATTTTTTTTTTTTTTTTAGAATTTATTTATTTGAAAGTCAGAGTTACAGAGAGAGAGGAGAAGCAGAGAGAGAGAAAGGTATTCCATCCAATGGTTCACTCCCCAATTGGCTGCAATGGCCGGATCTTCGCAGATCTGAAGACAGGAGCCAGGAGCCAGGAGTTTCTTCCGGGTCTCCCACGTGGGTGCAGGGGCCCAAGGACTTGGGCCATCTTCTACTGCTTTCCCAGGCCACAGCAGAGAGCTGGAAGTGGAGCACTCTGGAACCGGCGCTTCAGGCCAGGACATTAACCCACTGCACCACAGAGCTGGCCCCATAAATAAAATCTTTAAAAAAATTAAGAAAAAGTGACCCTAGCTTTTCCACTCAACAATACCTTTAATTTTCTTTTACCTTCCTATCAGTATGATTTTAAGTGTATATTTTTTAAAAAATTATAATTTTTTCCTATAATTTTGCTTGTCATTAGTTTAATAACTTTGACAAAACTTTTTTTAACCACTTAAATATTGCATATATCAGTTAGGATACAGTACTTTATACTGGGTCACAACAGCAAAGGCTTATTTCTTGTTCACACTCCAGGTGCATCATGTATTGTCCCGGGGTCTGCATTTTATGGTCCCTCAAGGACACAGCTGATAGGAGCAGCCACCATTATACTGTCATGCTTGAACAAAATAGAGCTCAGGAAGGTTTTAGTTTCCACTTCTGCTTAAAATTCATTATTAGAACTGGTCACATGGTTGTACTACATCACCGTGGGGTGAGGAAGAGCAACAGAACCATGTGCCATCTACGTGCAGCTAGAAATGTGTGCTGAACATAATTCATGAGTACCAGTTTTATTGTGGCTAGTTTAAATAAGAATCAAGCCACAAGTCATTGATGCCCCCATTTAAACAAACGAAGTGAAAAAATGTTTAAAAACTTGTTCTGAGGACTAGTCAAAGCAATTAAAACTGAAGCACATGAAATTATCAAAATTTTTATCTTCTGTGGTTAACATTTTTCTTTTTGCTTATTGCACTAAAAATACAAAACCCTTGAGTGAAACTCATCTGCAACCTCTGGGGTAACAACCAAGAAATTTTGATACTGCTGATACCAACATTATTTCCTTTTCGTAAGTGCTGCTTTAAACTGAACTATGATGATACTCAATTTTCAGTAAACTAAGCTCCTTCCCTATGCTAGCAATGAAATGAAAGTTACAAACTGAAAAGAATAAAATTAGGTAATTAGTACTCTAGTCTATGTACTGTCTCATATTTTACACCTCTTTCCACATCTATACTTTTCCATCCTCTCTCTACATGTAGCATACAGAGATGCACACCCAGACCTCTGTACGCTGAGAAAGAAATAGAAAAGTTGATAATCTGAGCAACAATATTACTAGTCATACAATCACTGCTTAATCCACAGTTTTTGGTAAGGACATTATTATTTCACCTAAGTAGTATTCAAGTGACAGATATTTTCTACTCGAAGAAAGAGATATCGGCAGAATGAGGTCAAAGCTCTGAATCATCACTACCTTTAACCTGTGCCATGTGGTCTAGTACATGTGTGCAGCAAACTGTCTACTACTGTCTGCCATGACAAGTTGGATTATGACTGAATTTTCTAAGGTTCCCTTCCTAAACTCTTTTCTTGCTTTTTCCAAGTTTTTGTGAATCATTTATAAGCTCAATTTATTTATGATTGGCTTACAATTCCCTTTATCAACTGTGTTCTTTAGCTACTTTCCTACATATCGTCTCACAATCCCAATGAACACTGTTACATGATCAGAGTGTGTACACATCATTGGGGACTAAAAAATTTTTTTTCAAAAGAAGGGGGAATACATCTATGGTATTTCAATTTTATAATAAAATCTAGAACCTAAATAAAGTTTCCAAAGCTAATTCAGTCTCTCTCTCTCTCTCCCTATATATATACACACACACACACACTTCAGATACAGAGGGACATTATATATATATCAAGAAGAAAGTGAGTTAAAGAGAAAAGTTTTTAAAAGTGCAAGGTGGTTTTGTCAGCTGATCTCCCAACCTGCTGGGGAGTAATAGGCCATGAATACTTTCTCCTTTTTCTAGTGGTAAATGACTGCCTAACTTATTAATGGACAGCAGATATCGAAAATAGTATCATCTTGATATAAATGTATTCCAAGTTTAAATCCAGCTTCTATTCCATGTTCAAGGCATGGTATCAAATTTTTGACAAAGCTCATGGTAACCCTTGAAAGTAAGACCTCTTATTTTTATCTTGTTTGAAGCTGTAGGACAGTTTCTTTATAAACTGTCAGCAATATTTGCTAATTCCAGATTCTAAGGCCTCATCCATATCTCATTAGGAACATAGAGCAGAGGGTATTTTTTTTTAAGTTTTATTTAATGAATATAAATTTCCAAAGTACAGCTTATGGATTACAATGGCTCCCTCCCCCCCATAACTTCCCTCCCACCCTCAACCCTCCCCTTTCCCTCTCTCTCCCCCCTTCCATTCACATCAAGATTCATTTTCAATTCTCTTTATATACAGAAGATCAGTTTAGCATCTATTAGGTAAAGATTTTAACAGTTTGCACCCACATAGAAACACAAAGTGAAAAATACTGTTTGAGTACTAGTTATAGCATTAAATCACAATGTACAGCACATTAAGGACAGAGATCCTACATGAGGAGTAAGTGCACAGTGACTCCTGTTGTTGACTTTACAAATTGACACTCCTGTTTATGGCCTCAGTAATCTCCCTAGGCTCTTGTCATGAGCTGCCAAGGCTATGGAAGCCCCCTGAGTTCACTGACTCTGATCATATTTAGATAAGGTCGTAGTCAAAGTGGAAGTTCTCTCCTCCCTTCAGAGAAAGGTACCTCCTTCTTTGATGACCTGTTCTTTCCACTGGGATCTCATTCGCGGAGATCTTTCATTTAGGTATTTTGTTTTTTATTCCTTTTCTTGTTGCCAGCGTTTTGGCTTTCCAGAGCAGAGGGTATTTTTAAAGAGGCTCCTGGACAACTTAGATCCATAGCCAGTTCTGACAAGTGACCTATACCATTCCGCAAACTAGAGCTTTTTAATCTTAACCTGCCACCAGTCCTGTGATTTATATTCTTCTTTTTTATTCTTGTAAATTAAACATTAAAATGATTGTAGTACACAACAGACTACTAATGTTGGACAACATTGTATGTAGTTTTACTGATGACTCTTGTTTTAAAAGATAATAATTATGAAGGAAAAGTTGATCCCAACAAAGCACCTGTCCAACCTCCCTACAGCGGTCAGTCAGAGACAGCAAACTCAAAAGATAGGGAAATAATGCTGAGCTGGACATCAAATTTACCGATTTTTTTCTAACTGCAATTCTCATTACTCTGAACAAGAAATCAGTACAATTACAGTAAAAGTCAAATTCCCCACACCATTTTCAAATGGAGTGAATATCTGTAGCTAACAGAGCAGAGAGCAAGCATTGTAGCATAAGAATCTTCACACATTGAGAGTTCCATAAGAGGGGGAAAAAACAACAGAACCCAACGTATTTCCCCATCATATTTTCTCATATATGCAAAACAAAAAGCATCTGTATTAATAACATTCTTCTTTAAGCAAGGGAATATTGGGCAAAACTAATAATCAGTGGTAAAAACATATCACTGTAACGCACTGAAATTCCATCAGCACCAATACTCAGAGTTACTGTTACCCTTTTCTTTAGGTCTAAAAAGCTTGTATACTTTATTTTCAGTATCCAAATATAGATGATTTCTTTTTAGCTTTAATATACCACTGTGGAGAAAAATTCTCAGAGTAACAATTTCTTGTAATATTGGTCAGAAATTCAAGTATCACTTAAGATTGAAACAATACAAAATTTATACAAATAGGTATTGTCAGGAAACATACAAAGCTTAAATAAAAACAGAATATGAAAATAATTTCAGATCTAGAAAGTGAAAGTGCTATTTCAGCAATAATTTCCATCTGTGTTTATTTTACATAAAGAAAATATATGAGGAACACTATACACTATACACTTTTCAGCCTTTGTTTCTTCCTTCTTTAAATATAGACGACAGAAAAGATGGATTAGATGCAGTCTACTTTTTCCTCGACTGGATGATTTTTTAGAGGATTATAAACCATGAAGCTAAACTGTTTAAAAGTTGGAAGTTTATTGCAAGCAGCACCTGTGGCCAAAGAGAGAAGGTTGTTTGGTTAAATGTAAGATGCATATTTACAAACAACATAGATATTGTTTATTTGGCTAAATATGGGCTATTGTGTTCATAATGTACAACTAAGCCACATAGATGTTATATGGGTCTTGTCCTTCTTAGTTCTGAGTAGCTTACAGTGCATGAAAGAAAAGAAAAAGGTAGTGAGTAAGCCATACCTGACTTGCAGAAAACTACCTGATTTTTTTGCTCCATATACATGTTGTCATTGCCACTATTGATTCTCTCTGTTTTCACATCCTTTGCTTACAAAAAATTACTGAGTCACTTCCAAAAACTTTCGTTCCCTAGCCATTAGAACATTCCCATCATTTATCCATAGCCTACTGACCACCTCTCATCCCCTCCATCACTCCTTAATCTTCTCTTACTCTTCTAGAAAGTGAGAAGAGTTAATGTCATGATGCTCTCTGTCTAATCAAGCTAATCTTCTCAAAAACCTGTGGGTATCCTCTTCTACTAACATTACTTTAAAATAAAAGAAACTAGTCAATTTTAAATTTATCTACAATTATATAATCATCATTTTGCCATCCTGCTAAATACAACCTTATGTCTTCTAAGGTTATTTCTTTAGAGAGAATCAATGAAACTAACTCATTTTATATATAAAGCCTTTCCCACCTCCGGTAACTTTTATTGACTTTTGATCTTAGTACTTAAAAAAGAATAAGGAATTCCTCAAACAAGTTTTTCAAATACAGAACTGTGGGAAGTAAGAGATCAAAGAACAATAATAAGCAGTCTAACCTAATAAGTCATATTGATCAGTAAGCTGTGTATCTTCCCCATCTGAAAATGCACTAATGAGAATCAGCAGTGGTTGATCTTAAAATGCTTTGAAACTGTGCTGGCTCATATGGAAAGTAAATGAAGCAAGAGACATTCCTCAAACACAGTGCAAAAATAATTCCGCTAACTTCTTTGGTTTAAAATTAGTAATACATCTTGTTCTTTGGAGCCCCAAGAAGAAATAAATGGCTGAAACATTTAAATAATGAATAGAAGTAGGGGAGATAATTTTTCCCTATCTACATCTAATTAGTAAAAGCATTTGACTAGATTAGCCCATCTCAACATGAACTAGAGCTAAAACTAAATTTCCTTTAGGACAGATGTGAAAGATACAAATACCCACAGACAGGGTCGTAACTGCCAGCAGTCAGTTGAAGCAGGGTTCTATGTACAGTTTTTAACACTTTGTCGGTCTTGATACTCAGTGCCTACAGTACACAGTCCCTTTTTCTATTGAATGTAATGTATTATATACTGCAATATTTAAAAGTGTATGTTTTAAACATTAGCTAGTTTTTACAAACACACTATCCTAATACAACTTACCATAACTTCCAGTCACATTGGCACATATAACAGCCCCAAAGAATTTTGGAAAATGTTTCTGAATTCTTGAAATCACTTTTTGGCAAGCTGTGGTTGGGTATTCTCCTCTTCTCATGTATTCTACAGCTTGGTAGCTAATTTCAATAGAGGTGAAATGTTAGTATTACCGAATAAATACTAAATCCAAATTCAATTACCTGAAGTTAGAAATTTAAAACTATGATTGTCACATTTGATAGAACAGGTACAAATAAACAAGAGGTGGTAACTCCTGTTAAAGCAACAACATCAAACCAAGGAAACCTGGATTTGATGTCAATCAACCAACCCACCCATTACTTTCAGAAAAGAACTATTATTTTTGGCTTTGGCTTAGTAACTGTAATTCAGTAATATTAGAAGTCATTAAGAATAGAAGCTATATTTAAAGGAGAAAAGGGGCTAAAAATCAAAGGTGAAAATATTGGGCAAGTGCAAAATTTGTAGTTAAAGTAATTAATTACAGACAACGACTATTCTGCCTACTTTTATCAGTGATCACAGTTCCTTTCCTCAGTGGCCTTCCATCAACTTTTTTTTTTCCCCATCAGCTGTTTAAACAGAACATAGATATTCTTTCCTTGGAAGTAGGGTGAAAAAATACTATTTTATTTCACAGCTGATTACCTAATTTGAATGACTGTAACTACCAAAACAACAGGCAAAAAAGTGCAGATACAATTTCTCCTAAGCTCTTGTGCACACAAATTCAGATTACACAGCATGAAAAAATTTTCCATCTTGATGGAGAAAATACCTGTAGAAGATCTCTAAGATGCACAAACATAAAAGCATACCTTGGTAGGAAGCGCATCAATATATCACCATCCCCAGTGGCTGCAGCTGCTCCAGCAGTATCATCAGCATAGGCCCCTGCTCCAGGTATTGGGGAATCTCCTACACGACTTTTGAAGGGAAAGTACAATAATTTAGGACTGGAAATGAGTGTAAACTTAACTTTGTTAAGACATATTTCAACAATAGGGGCTATTTCTACTTGGCAACTGATTATTGTTTTAAGTAAATTCTTCGTCAGAATACAAAAAAGATTTCCAGTTTCTCAACTTGGATTTTCAGAAGCCAATACCACTTACATTAGAATTTGTTATCAGATGTGTAGTTAAAGAACTTGAACTCACAGAAACAGAAATTACAATGGTTATTACCAAAGGCTGATGAAAAAGGTAATGAAGAAAATGTTGGTTAGGAAAAAAATTCAGTTATTACAAGAGGAAAAAGTTCAAGACAGCTATTTGTACATCATGGTGGCTATGTGAATAACATCATGGTGAATAACAATGTTATTTATTTGTGTTAAAGACAGTAGATTGTGTTTTCACCAAAGTATGTGAGATAATACATGATATATAGCTGATTTAACCATTCCACAATGTGAATGTATCAAAACATCATGTTGTACATTATCAACATATATAATTTTTACTTCTCAATTAAAACATATTTGTTAAGATTTTATCATTCAGTTATATACCAATATGGCACAGACTTATAGTAACTATTCTTATAGTAACTATATATAGTTACTATACTATATATATACTATATATATATGTGGCACAGACTTATAGTAACTATTCTTATAGTAACTATATATAGTAACTATATAGTACTAATACTATATAATTACTATATATAGTAACTATTACCATCTTTTATTCAAATAAATATTTGAATATTATTCATATATATTCAAATAAAAATTTTACCTTACTTAAAATCTGTTCTTGCTTCCTATATTGTATATTAATTTTTACAAAAGTTTTTCCTTGTAAAAAAAACGTTAATACTTTTCTAAATATTTATGCTTCAAAATCTAGAACTCCTTAAGGTGACTTAAGACTCCTTGAAATCTGGCTCCAAGCTTCCCTTGCAATTTTATCTTCCATGGCCTCCATTCCAGTCCCTCCCTCCTACTCTCTCCCCAACAAGTGTGGGTGCACACACATATACAATTTCTTTGCTAGCCAGTGGGAGCCCTGAACCTGAAGTGTGTACTACTTTGTATCTGCCTGTGTGTTTGTCTGAATGTCCCTCTTTCTTCTATAGACTCAGGGTTCCCACCATCGCTCTATATTGGCTTTCACATCCCATCTGCAACCCCTGAACTTCAAGGCATTCGGTATGCCTCTTCCTTTGGCACCTGGCAGTCAGTAACACATTTTCCTTCACATTTATCTTAGCTCTGAGCCTTGGGCTGTGCTTTGTGTTGCACATCCTCTGCAGCACAGACTGCTTTATGTTCAGTATACACTTAAAATATCTATTCCTTTGGAAACACTAACCCAGGAATTTTGAATTTTATACCATTAGTAGATGTACCAGCAGCAGTGTGTCCCATCTTATGGATTACAACCATGCCTAGAAGTAAAACAAAAAAAACTATCTATATCTATTTATAGGTAGATAGACATACATAGTTACGCTGAAATATAACTAAATAATTTAGCAGTTGGTATTTGCTAATATCCAAATATCTGTCTCCCCCAAATTCATGTTTAAATTCTATTCTACAAAGTCATGACTTTAAGAAGTAGAAAACTCAGAGAGATGATTAGGTTATGAGGCAAAGCCTTCATGAATCAGATTAGAATCTTAAAAATGAGTCCTCAGAGAGCTGACTAGCTTCTCCCAGCACGTGAAGACAGAGAGTGTCACGTGTGAGGCATGAAGTGGGCTCTCACCACTCATTGAATCTGCTGGTGCTTGGGTCTTGGACTTCCCACCTTCCACACTGTGAGAAATACATTTCTTGTTGATAAGCCACCTAGTCTATGATATTTTGTGACAGCCTGACCAATTAAGAAAGTAATACAAATATGTTCTTTCAATAATTTTAGGTAGAAAAAAAACCAAAAACTTTGAAAATATTGAAAAATATACCATGGGTATAATTTGTGATTTTCAATGAGCTGGTTTCATAGCATAATTTGCTAGACATCCCATATCCTCAACTCTTCTAATTGGTCAACTATGTTTACCATGTTTTCAAAGTAATTTCAAAGAAAATCACTGATACAGACAAACAGAAATTTTTAAAATCACAGCTTAAATATTTAAAAATCTACAAGTGAATGAATAGCCATTGGATTTTAGGGGTCTTAAAAAAGTAATCTACCAAATCACATCCAATGCTAAGACACACACACACACACACACACACACACGGGTACTCCAAGATGTTTGTGGAAGAAAGAATCAAAAGATAATTTAGTGGTCAATGTTTAGCTTAGCAGTTAAGATACCAACTTTTTTTTAAAGATTTATTTTATTTATTTGAAAGAGTTACAAAGAGAAGCAGAGACAGAGAGAAAGGTCTTCCATCTGCTAGTTCACCCCCAGATGGCCGCAACAGCCAGAGCTGCGCTGATCTGAAGCCAGGAGCCTCTTCCAGGTCTCCCACGTGGGTGCAGGGGCTCCAAGGAGTTGGGCTATCTTCCACTGCTTTCCCAGGCCATAGCAGAGAGCTGGATCAGAAGAGGAGGAGCCAGGTCTAGAACCGGCGCCCCTATAGGATGCTGGTGCTTCAGGCCAGAGATTTAACCCACTGTGCTACAGTGCCGGCCCCAAGATATCAAATTTTTAAGAGGCTTGCATCCCTTGTAGGAGTACCTCGGTTCAATACCTGACTTTGGTTTTGGACTTCAGTTTCGTGTTAATTAAGAACCTGGGAGGCAGTGGTGATGACTCAGATAAATTTTTTTTTTTTTTAATTTTTTTGAGAGGTAGAGTTACAGACAGTGAGAGGAAGAGACAAAGAGGAAGTTCTTCCTTCCGTTGGTTCACTCCCCAAATGGCCGCAATGGCCGGAACTATGATGATCTGAAGCCAGGATCTAGGTGTTTTTTCCCGGTCTCCCACATGGGTGCAGGGGCCCATGTACTTGGGCCATCTTCTACTGCTTTCCCAGGCCACAGCAGAGAGCTGGATTGGAAGAATAGCAGCTGGGACTAGAACCTGGCACCCATTATGGGGTGCCAGTGCCACATGTGGAGGATTAACCTACTTCACCATGGTGCCGGCCCCAGGATAATTTAATTCTTAACACCCTCATGGGAGTACTGGATTCAGTCTTAGCTACTTGCTTCAGCTCAGCCCAATCTTGGTCATAGGGGACATGTTGGAAGTGAACCAGAAGATGGGGGCTCTTTTTTTTTTTTAAAAAGTGCGCTTACTCACCTTAAAGATTGTCCATGAACTTCAGTGCCCCCATATACACACACACTTGGGTGGCAGGGAAAGGGAGAAAGGGGAGTACTTACTTGGTAGTTACCATAATCAAAACAAACTCTGGTACAAGAATAGTGATAAAAGCGAGCCACTGGAAGGCAATTACCTAATCTTTAACCATGGAAACAGTATAAAAGGCAAATTACCTATAGTATCATGACCGCAATCAACTCCTGTTTCTTTACAGGTGAAAGCATCCTGCTTTAAGATCCCAGATGGCTTGTAGGGTCCACAGTATTTTGAAGAATCTGGTATAACATTCTATAAACAAGATTTAAGTTTTATTTTTTAGAAAGGATGTTTTAAAAATTGGCAAGTAGTTATGTACAATCACTAAACACTACCAAGGAACCAAAAAGACATCTGGTAACTCAAAGATAAGAATTAAAGGCTTAAAGATTAGTTAAATCTTATGTGAAAACAGATGGATATATAATTTTACTAAATATCTTTCCAGTCTCAGAATTCCATAATATGGGTTAGATATCTATATGGTATGGAATAGGTCCCTGATTTTTTTCTTTACACATCTAAAATTCAAAATTAAAAAAAAAATGATTTTTCAGGAGTTATTAATCCTCAAAGGAATTAGGTATACAACCTTTAGAATCTGTTCCTTGGCCAAAGAAGAATTCTGAGATTTAAAGTAAAATTTGCTTTAAATTTTTTTTTCCCCAAAACTAAGTTTATGTGAATTTTCTATGTTGTACTATAGAATTCCTTTTCAACCTTAAAGGCATAAGAATATAATCTAAATTTCCAAATTTAGGTTTTGTATATACAGGTTCAGTATCCTTTATCTGAAATGCCTGAGACCAGAGGTGTTTCAGATTTTGAATTCTGGAATATCTGCATATACATAATGAACCATCTTGGGGATGGGACCTAAGTCTAAACACAAAATCCAGTTATGCTTTATATATACGTATATGTGACATATATATATAGATATATAGATAACCAGAAGGTAATTTCATGGAATATTTTTAGTGTATTTGTGTTCTAACTTCAACCCATCACACATGGTTAGGAGTAGAATTTTCTACTTATGACCTTATGTTGGTTAACAATTTTTAGGTTTTAGAATATTTTGGATTTTGGAATTTTGGATTATAGATGCTCAACTTGTACATTACACATCATATTTGTACATTAATGTACTAGGTGCCTCCCCTAACCTGGTTTTATGACTCGTCTCTGTCTGGTACTAACACTACAAACTCCTTGGTTATGGAAAGGTAATTAGGACTTTCAGAAGAAACAGATGAAGTTAAGAAACCTCCCAAAAAGACTCTGAATAGCAAAGGCAAACTGATTTATCCTAAAAGATAAAACACAAATTATCCCCTAGGAATACTCTAGACACCTAAGAGTATAACTTTCAAGGTAAATAAGATTAAGATGTTGGATGTAATTTACATATATAAAATCTAGGAAGTATTTTAGAATATGCTTTGTAAGTTCTGATTCTTTTAGACTTTGTTATAAGGAAATAAAAGCAGAGCAGTTCTGACTGGGGCAGCCCTCATCAAACTTCAGTTTGAAACCCTTGCCAGAGATCAGTAGTTCTCCACACTGAATGTGCGTCACAGGCTGCTAGGGCCCTTTCAGGAACATCCATGCCCAGAGCATCAACTAAAATTGTTGCTTCTTTTATGTAGCCATGAGGCTAACCAGCACCTTAGATAACAGGCAATAAAGAGCAGAAGGATGTCACTTTATATTTTTAAATAACTTCCTTAAGTATGTACACATACCCTCCAATAATTTGGCTGGCAATTCCTGGCATGCCAATCTTTATGAAGGGCTCGAGAATCATTGGTAGACAAATCTTCATTGACAAATCCCATACTTTCAGCAAACATGGTGGCTGCATATTGGGAAGACAAGAAAAGGGTAAATTTATCAAGTATCATCTTTAATTAAATGTACTAGGTCAGCTGTCTCTTAAGTGAAATACATCCAGGGGAGTCCAGAGACTATTTAGAGATGAACAGTTTTAAGGAAATCCATTTCTGTATCTTCAGCTTCCACATATTCTTCCTAAAACTGATCTGCCTGGGATCTTGAAGCATGTGTTATGGCAGCTGCTTTTCCTACTTGCCTCCACAATCTCCTTCTACTTTACAGAAGAAAGACACCTCTCACCAATACAGAATCTTCCTACTCTAACCAGGGGTGCAATGCCAGGGGCATTTGGAGACAAATGGATTCCATTGAATGGGCAGCAGATGCTTTGCTTGTCAGGTAGCTTCCGATTCCGCATTTTAACAAAACTGAAGAAAATATACTGAATTTGTTATATGTCACTAAGAATAATGTTTGTTTATAGGTTACTGTAATAATGTAATAATGGGAGGCATTCAAATAAGTGAAATAGTCATAGCAAACTACTTCCAGTACAATCTTCTTTTTCTAATAATGCTTCTTGGGTCTTAACCTATAAAACCATAACACAGCAAGAGAGCTGCTGCTGAATCCTGCTTCAGTCCAGCAATTACTCATTTACAGATAATAAACTGTTTTTGAATCCTATCTTAAAGATAGTGAGATTTAGAAGGTAAGTACCTTATTTAGTTAAATAGCTATTAAGTAAAACAGCTGGAATTTGGATTTAGGTCTGCTTTTATCTGTTCCCATATTTTATACTGAGTCCTATCTTTTCACAGTGAAGACTATAACCAAAAGACCAGAAAAAAATTTCAGTACAGTTAAAAAAAAATACCTGATTCTCCTACTAAAAGTGTGTGTGTTGTGTGTTCCAGGACTTTCCGTGCCACACCAATAGCATTTTTAATTCGTCTAAGATCTCCTACTGCTCCTACATTCATAGTAGTGCTGGGAGAAAAAGATGCAGTTAGATTTATTATTTTCATAAATTCACAGATAAAATAATTGCTTGTCTTCCTGAAATGTGTTTTGTAGCATAAATTTCACATCTTAACACAGAAGTGAAAGTATAGCCATGAAATTCATACAGAATCTTCAGATAAGAAAAAAATTAAGGAAAACACATAATATCAATTAACCATATACCTAGCCCAATAGCACTAAATCCTCAGTTTCTCTTAGCTCATTTTAAGTATGAATTTGGAAGGAGGCTTTCAGGCTTCAAGTTAACCAAACCATAGCGTATGTGGCAGATATATGATTTATAAGATCAGGAACATATTTTAAGGATCTACAAAAAATTCATGGAAAATGTATATTACGAAAAATCTATAGATTTTGGGCCGGCGCCGTGGCTCAATAGGCTAATCCTCCACCTTGCGGCGCCGGCACACCGGGTTCTAGTCCCGGTCGGGGCGCTGGATTCTGTCCCGGTTGCCCCTCTTCCAGGCCAGCTCTCTGCTATGGCCAGGGAGTGCAGTGGAGGATGGCCCAAGTGCTTGGGCCCTGCACCCCATGGGAGACCAGGAAAAGCACCTGGATCCTGGCTCCTGCCATCGGATCAGCGCGGTGCGCCGGCTGCAGCGGCGGCCATTGGAGGGTGAACCAACGGCAAAGGAAGACCTTTCTCTCTCTGTCTCTCTCACTGTCCACTCTGCCTGTCAAAAAAAAAAAAAAATAGAAAAATAGAAAAATCTATAGATTTCAAAAATTTTTCACACAAAAATATACTTCTCTCTCAATTTCATTTTTCTATGAACTTTTTGAAGAACGCTTATATTTGTGTAGCTTAGGATTCTTCCAGTTCTAAGGAGACTACATACTTCCATGTAATATTTTTTTAATAGCTTTTATTTTACTTGAAAGGCTGACAGAGAAAGAGTGCTCCTGTCTGCTGGTTTACTCTTCAAAAGTTCACAACAGCTGGGGTTGGGTCAAGCTGAAGCCAGAAGCCAAGTCCCCTACATCGGTAGCAGGGACCCAATTATTTGGACATCACCTGTTGCTTCCTTGGAAGAACATTAGCAAGAAGCCAGAAACAGCAGCAAAGCCTGGTCCTGAATCCAAGCACTATGATATGGGGTGTGGGTGTCCTAAGTAGCATTGTAACTACTATGCCAAATGTCTACCCTCCTATGTGATATTTTTATTACTTTTTTTTTTTTTTTTTAGTTTAGAGGGAACTTTCTTGTGTTTGGAAAGCCCAAGTACAACAAGCTAGGGTTTTTTTACTTATGAAAAAAACTTTCTCTCAGTTGAAGGCTACAACTCTGAAGATAATGCATCATGAAGCAAAAGGTACAGAGACAGACAAATCCTGAAGAATGCTCTTACCCATCCATGATCATGGCATCCAGTGTGGTTTCTCCAAGTTCATCAGGACTTCCTCCAAAGCCCACAGTGCCATCACACTGGTCCTTCTCACACTCAGCACAGCCATTCTCAACTGCATCCAGAGTTGAACCGCCAGATGCTAATGTCCTCCATGCTGTGAATAAAATCCCAACAATACTTGTCTGTATTTTTTGTCAATGCCAAATGTATTGCCAAACCAAAAACATTTGGGAGTTCCTATTTTAAAGCTTTTTTTTTTTTTTTTACATTTAAACTAATGTTAATAATTCAGTTTATCAAGTAGTATAAAGGAGTCACAAAGAGTCAAAATTATGTAACTAGTGACTATAACAGATCCAAGCACTTAGATATTGCTGCAAATTGAAGGCTTTTTCACTTATTAAGGTCTATTTCTTCTATATGTAAGTAAAGAAGTAAGTATCCTCTCTTTTTCTTCAAAAGGAAACTAGTAAAAGGCGATTAAATTGAAAATAAATCACAGCCTTAATTTCTCCCATATGCATCATCATTTAAAATATGCATAATGTGTGGGGCTGGTGCTATAGCGTAAGCTATACAAGCCCCAGTCTATAGTGTCAGAATTCCACAAGGGTGCTGGTTCAAGTACCAGCTGCTAAACTTCTGATCCAGCTCTCCGCTAAGACCTGGTGAAAGCGGTAGAAGATCGCCCAAGCCTTTGGGCCCCTGCACCTGCGTGGGAGACCCAGAAGAAACTCCAGGCTCCTGGCTTCGGATCAGCTCAGCTCTGGCCGTTGTGGTCATTTGGGGAGTGAACCAGCGGATGGAAGACTTCTTTCTTGGCTCTCTCTTTGTAATTCTGTCTTTCAAATAAATAAAATGAATCTTTAAAAAATATATGCACAATGCTGTAATAGGAAATAGGTAATTACAATGTGACTTCACGTGCAGTAAAACATTTAATCTTCATTAACAGATTTTGAGGTGAGTACTGTAGAGTTACAATTGTTATTTTAAAATGAAAACAGCCAGAGAGGTTAATTTGCTCCAGGTCACACAGCTAGCATGTAGGAGAGCCAGAATTCCAAGGCTCCAGCGGCCACATTCTCAGCACTATGCTATGCTGTGCAGACCCCAAAAATTGTGGAGGAAGGGCAAAAAAGGGTCTTTATTGAAAGAGAAAAAAATTCTTTGACGGGTAGGAACTACTGTTGGTAAACACTTGACTCCGGCTCTGGACCCACGGGTCTGAAACCTCGCACAATTCCCCTTTTCCACACAGCAGCTTACACAGCATTGTTCCCTGGCCAGGCTGCACTTTGTATCTATCACTGGGAATATCTTTTCGCAGCCTATTTACTGATTTTCTCTGAACAGTCCCGCCTGTAACGCAGAAGTGTAACCCATCACATTGTGGGGTTAATCCTGCCCGGAAAGTTAACATATTAGCAGCCTCAGGTTGGGGAGAGGAGGTCTGAAATTACTCTTGGTATGTCTTACAGTAAATGAAAGGAACAAGCATATTCAATGTGAGTATGTCAAAATAATGGTATGTACAGGATAACATCGAGACGCAGAATCAGACGGGGCTTTAGGGCAGTAAATCCGGGAATACTTCCTTGAAGAGACGATACCTTAGCTTTGGGGTTCTCCAACACTGCAACTCACAATCACCTGGGAAGCTTTAAAAGCAAAACAAAGCTAAACAGCTGTCCTAGTACCAGCAGGTGAATGAAAATCTCGGGAGGTGGGGCCTGGGCAAGAAGATTGAGAAGCTCCGCAGATATTTTTCATGTACGGCCACTGCAGGAACCTCGCATTTCAGATGGCAAGTAGGGCACAACAACGAACGCAAACGGGAAGTTAGACTGTGTTTGCGAAATTACCGGTCGTTAGCAAGCTGAAGCACGGGGTTCTGCAGAGAGGCGAGGGGTTGGACAGGAGAGGTGGAGCGGAAGGAGGAGACACCCCGCTAAGAGAGTGGTTGTTAGGCAGAAACACGGCCTCGGTGGCCCTGGCAGAGGGAGTCAAAAGGCCCTGAGGTCGGCAGCAGGGTGCGGGGGAGAGCAGGACCTAAACTGCAGCAGTGGCTGGTCGGCCGGAACAAACGTCAACACACAGGACGCAGCGACGTAGGAAGGGCAGGGAGGAGTGGACACAGCGACTACAAAGGCTCGGCCCAGCCCGGCTCTTTTCTGCCCTCCCGACTCCCCTAACTCCAGCGGCCTGTCCTCGCCCACCCGCCGCTCCGCACCTGCTTCGGTTGCATTCTTAAAAGGCCAAGTATTGAGGACCAAGGGTAGAGGGCCGCAGCTGCGCACGAGCGCTGGGCCGAGCAGGAGCGGCGCGAAAAGCAGGGGGAAGTTCCACTTCGGCGCCATGGCCGCGCTCGGAACTGACCAGCAGGAGAGAAGCCCCAGACTCAGGCCCGCGCTTCCCCGGGCGCCTGATCCCGAGGCCCCGCCCCCTGGAGGTCACGCTCCTTCCCGTCGGGGCGCGACCAGGGCTGCCTGCGCTCTCGCGAGAACGGGCGTCCTCGAGTGCCGGTCAGAGAGCTCTGGGGAGTTGTCTAGATATTTCCTTAGTGGTCAGCCAAGTATTTGGTTTCTTATTTTGTCAGAGGTAGACAGAGCTTAGTATTGGAAAGTCAGTGTGAAATTATGCAACCCTTGGTTATAACCCTAGGAACTTAAGGTAGCGAGTGGTTTCGTACTATTTGGTTTTTACAAATTAACCTTTTAATTAAAAGTTGAAGTTGAAAAGTTTGCCAGACTCAAAGGTACTGTGGCATTCCCGGCTTCGGGGTTCCGGGAATGGTTATAAGTGAAGCGTGCTTGCTTAGGACCAGATTCGTTTTAGGTTTTTTTTTTTTTTTTTTTTTTTTTTTTCCTGCCTTGTGGGATGTCCTTTCATTTTAGGTCTCAGAGCTGGAAGAAAAGGACAGACAGCTGGGAGAGTAGAAATGTACCCTCTACAAGGCCCACTGAAGTGCACCGTCCTGAACCTCCAGGCAAAAAAGGCTACTGCCACTCCTTTTTGAATGTATTTTACCTTTGGGCCTGGCGCCATTAAGTGCGAAATGAATGTTTGAATCAATGGAGAGATAGAGTCTGTGCACGCACGGTGGAATCTGTTCGTTTAGAAAATTCGGTTGCTGGGCAGATATGACCATGAACCAGTAATCCCCTTTGGGACTCTGGAATGCTTGCCTATGCTGGAAGACAAAGAATTTTATAGATCATCTGTAAATCTATCCAGACTTATAAAAATATGAACTAGGAAAGGAGTTGTGAGGCTTCCAAAACCTTCAAGGCTCCTATTGCTAGGGAATTAAATACATATTTTAAACAGTATAAGATAGCCTAGAAGAATTATCCTGTGGCAAAGAAGTGCCATTAAAAAGTTAGATGTATTTAAAGAGAAATGTTCGAAGTTCCTTCTGTGGAGTTTTTGGAGAAAAGTCATTTGTGTTGGAGTAATCAGCATAAACTAATGCCAGGTGAAATTTGAAAGATGGATGAAATAGAGTAAGAAAGCAAGGAAAACATAAATTGTCCCTTGAATTAATTTACCTTAACACTGGAGCTGAGTATTGTTTATACAACTTATCAAACTAGGACAAGCCTTCAGCAAGACATAAATTATAATACATGGAAAATTGGTCCCAGTGCTTACTGTTCTCTCAAGCTTCTTCCTAGTTCTTAATGGTATTTGTGTCTTCTGGCTGAGAAAACATGAACTGTTACCTCCTACTATATCTATTTTCTAAAAAATCCTCTCTCCTTGCTTGCAACCAAAGTTCCTACCAGAGAAGCAACTAATTTACACAATAATGAGAATGTCCCTGAGAGTGTTTCAATATGTCAACTTTCCCGTGGATATTTCTATTTAAAATAATTTGCAATCTCAAAGGAATTTATCCTGTTCAATGGCTTTTTAAAAAGTTATTTGAGAGACAGAGAGACAGATATAGACAGATAGCTCCCATCAACTACTTCAGTCCCCAAATTCTTGCAAGGAGTTGGTATGGGCCAGGCTGAAACTGTAACCTCGGAGACAGGATCTCAATCTCTGAGTGGCAGAGTCCCAACTACTTGAGCCATCACCTGTTCTTTCCCAGGGTTGGCATTAGGTAGGTAGAAGGTGAAATTGGGAGCTGGAGTCAGGGTGTGAAGTTAGGTGCTCGGATATAGGATGCAGGTGTCTTAAATAGGTCCAACATTTGGTGGTTTTATAGTGACCAATATTCAGTGGATCCAACTTCCCAGTTTGCCTAAACTTAAAGTCATCTCTGTAGCTATGTCTTAATCAAAGAAATTAAGTTGGGTTTGATATTTGGATTCCTTCTGTTTTATTATTATTTTACTGACACTTGAATAGTAATTTGCATTCTAGCATTGGAAGTTACCTCATATTACTCTGATTTAACTTTTCATTTGAGCCTAAATCTAACTGAGTCCTACTTTATTTTGGAGTAAATCTAGATGGAAAGAGATCTTCAACAATTAAGTAGCCTACTTTAAGAAAAATAGTCCACAGTTTTTCCAGAATCCTCTCCAATTTTCATTCTTTTACATCATTAATGATACATAGCAGAGATAAGTATCAGTACTGTTAGATCAAAGCAATTCATTTAAAAATTATTTAAATTTATAATGCGTTACACAGTTTTGCATGGTAAAATATTAATGTTCCTGAATAGCAGTTACTTGTGACTAGCAATACTTCAGGAGGATTCTCAATAAATGATTTTAAAACTCAGAGTGGTGGCCGGTGCCGTGGCTCAATAGGCTAATCCACCTTGCGGCACTGGCACACCGGATTCTGTCCCGGTTGCCCCTCTTCCAGGACAGCTCTCTGCTATGGCGTGCAGTGGAGGATGGCCCAAGTGCTTGGGCCCTGCACCCCATGGGAGACCAGGAAAAGCACCTGGTTCCTGGCTTCGGATCAGCGCGATGCGCCGGCCGTGGCGGCCATTGGAGGGTGAACCAACAGCAAAAGGAAGACCTTTCTCTCTGTCTCTCTCTCTCACTGTCCACTCTGCCTGTCAAACAACAACAACAACAACAACAAACAACCCAGGGTGGCAAGGTATTAGCTTGATAACTCACAGCTGAAACACACTTTCCTCAACTATGAAATGAAAATGATAGTGCTCTTTTTTATTTTACAAAGTTTTATGAATGAGGTAAGAGATATGAGAGAATGGTTGAATTCTGGGTGAAGTAAATAAAATTCTGTTTTAATTTGTAATTATCAAATATTCATCAATTGATAGCAAGGAAGGGGCAGTCTAGAAAAATATAAAGCAGTGAAAAGTAATCAATTTGTGACATAGAAATTTTCATAGGAGTAACAAAGTGTTGGCCAGATACTGATAATGCATTTTGAAGTAAGAACTTTAGAATTTCCTTGGCTGTATTAACTGAGAATTTATGTTTTCAGTCTACTTTGAGGTATTTAAAATTTGGTTTAAATGTTTATAAAGATAGTGCATGGCAGGCTTGTGTGATTTCTGCATGTCTTAAAAACAGCATCCTCAAATCTTCCCAAGGACAAAGCCCAAATGAAACCTTAAATGATGTTACAAATAGAGCCTTTCTCTGTATGTGTGTGGTGGAGGTGGGGTGGGGATGAGATTAGGGGGGCGATCTTAGGCAGCTGCAGGCTCCCCTCCATTCCCTCTAAACTTCATGGCTTTCAATTTGTCAGTCTCAGAAGGATGAAGAGTTGAGTCTCTCCTGATAGCATTTGAAGCTGTGGTTCCACAGAGGATTTAGCACTGTAGTTGCAGGGAGTCTAGGTATTTCAAATCTGAGGCTTAAAAAACTAAGCCATCCCCTCCGGCTTTTGCACTGATGCTGTGAAATCCATTTGAGAAACATGCCCATGTTTTGCTACTTGTTCAAAGCTGTAAGCGTGACTTGGCATTGAAATAATAATTCTTTTTTTCAGATCTCCCCCACTGAACTATTACCTGGGTTATCTAAATACAGGCTATTTGTTTGATTGGCATTTGCTCCTGTCAGTTCTGTAACTGTAAGTAATGATTTTTGCTGATGTTAGAGCATTGTGGCACCCTGTTTTTCATTTAAATTCATTTTTACCTTAATCCAGGAACACTTGATGTTACTACCTGATTGTACATTCTGGATATAATTAGAGTCATTATACTGAAATAAGTGTCGTCTTATTATTCCTAAATGAGGAAAGAGAGTATTCTTCTGAATAATTTTCCTGGGTCATGCCCCAAAACCATTTGTGGAAACAATAGCATATTCAAATCACAAACTTTTTTTTTTTTACTTTTTAACCTTTAAAAGTCATCTTAGTGACTTATAAAGACCAAGGTTGTATGTTAGAATGTTGGCTTGTTAAGTGATTTCTTTTTCCTAAAAATAAGTTATGTGCAACATATTTTCAAATTGTAGTTGTGATATGGGGCTACTGCTATAATAAAGTTCTCATAATGAGTATATGGTAGATCATTTATGTTGTGGGCCTTGCTTTTTATGACAGTTGTTTATAAATGTCATGATGTCTTCATAAATGTAATTCATTACAATAATAAAGGCCTAGGACATCAGAATCAACTTCATGAAGTCTTCTTCCACTTTAAAAACTACTTTGACATTGCTAAATAGTATCATGGATTATTTTATTAAATTATTTTAAATTCAATAATGAAAACAAAATTCTAAACGAAAGATGATATATAGTAAGTAATCCATTTAAAGTAATGTCCATTTATTGATCAATATTTAAATGGAAAAGTATTCTAATAATGAACACATATTCTGTGTGTAGCTTTACAAATAATCTGTTATTTCCTAGTGGTTCATATAAATATTTAAAAGGAAAGATTATATGTGACTTAGTTTTGTTTTTCATTTTTTAAAAATACTTATGAGTCCTTTCAATATCTCTAAGTACTCTAGCTCTTATTGAAAATATCCAACTTTTTGGGTCAGTGCTGTGGCACAGTGGATTAAAGCCCTGGCTTGAAGTGCTGGTATCCCATATGGGTGCTGGTTCTAGTCCCAGCTGCTCCTCTTCTGATCCAGCTCTCTGCTATGGCCTGGGAAAGCAGTGAGAAGACGGCCCAAGTCCTTGAGCCCCTGCACCCACATGGGAGACCCAGAAGAAGCTCCTGGCTCCTGGCTTCGGATCAGCATAGCTCCAGCTGATGCGGCCATCTGGGAAGTGAACTAACAGGTAGAAGACCTCTTTCTATGTCTCTACCTCTCTCTGTAACTCTGTTTCAAATAAATAAAATAAATCTTAAAAAAACCCAACTTTTTAACATTTTGTTGTATATCTTTTTGGTGAAAAATCGTGATGTTGTACACACTGTTGTATAAATTGCTTTTTAATTTAATTAATCTTTAAACTCTTTGCCTATCATTAAAATGTGTGCTTTTTATACATTTTTATTGTGAAATATAAATGCAGAAAAGGGATTAAACATAACATATTGATAAAAGAAATTTGTAGAAAATGAAAATCCATATTATCATCAATCATGTTGACAGATATTGTCAGTAACGTGAAAACTGCTAACTTTCCCTACAAAACATTTTTTAAGAGATTTTGTTTTACTATTATTTTTGAAACTTATTTTTATTTATTTTGAAAAGCAGAGATGGACAGAAAGATGCCTGCCTGCTGGTTCACTCCTCAAATGCTTGTAACAGAGGAGGCTGAACCAGGACAAAGTCAGGAACCAGGAACTCATTTGGGATGTCCAACATGGGTAGCAGAGATCCAACTACTAGAGACATCACCTACTGTTGATGCTAAAATCAGGAGTGGAGCTGAAACTCAACCACAGGTATGCTAATATGGGATGCAGTCATTTCAAGCAGCATGTTAATGACTGTGCCAAATACCCACCTCCAAAGATTTGATTTTTTAAAGGTGTATTTATTTAAAGATTTATGTATTTATTTGCAAGTCAGAGTTATAGAGAGAGGAGAGGCAGAGAGAGAGAGAGAGAGAGAGGTCTTCCATCTGCTAGTTCACTCCCCAGTTGGCCGCAATGGCCGGGGCTACACTGATCTGAAGCCAGGAGCCAGGAGCCAGGAGCCAGGAGCCAGAAGCTTCTTCCAGGTCTCCCATGCAGGTGCAGGGGCCCAAGGACTTGGGCCATCTTCTACTGCTTTCCCAGGCCATAGCAGAGAGCAGGATCAGAAGTGGAGCAGCCAGGTCTCAAACTGGCTCCCATATGGGATGTTGGCACTTCAGGTCAGGGTGTTAACCAGCTGTGCCACAGCGCCGGCCTCAAGGTGTATTTTTTTATTTGTAAAGTGAGGGAGAGGAAGGAAGGAAGGAAGGAAGGAAGGAAGGAAGGAAGGGAGGGAGGGAGGGAGGAAGGGGTATTTTCCATCTGCTGGTTCACTCCTCAAATGCCTACATAGTCAAGGCTGGGCCAGCCCAAAGACAGGAGTGAGCAACTCCATCCAGGTCTGTCATAGCAGTGACAGAGATCTGAGTAAGTGGGGCTGTCATCCACTGCTTTCCCAGGTTCTTAGCAGGAAACTGGGTAAGAAGCAGTTTAGCTGGGACTCACACAGACACTCCAAGATGGGATGCAGTCATCCTGAGTGGTGGTTTAATCCACTGCACCACAATGTCTACCCCCAAAGATTCTACTTTTAAGAGGATTTTTTTTCTAAAGATTTATTTTATTTATTTGAAAGGGTTACAGAGAGAGGGGTCAACGGAGTGAGAGATCTTCCATCTGCTGATTCACTCCCCAAATGGCTGGAGAGGCCAGGGCTGGGCCAGACTGAAACTAGAAGGCTGGAGCTTCTTCTGGGTCCTCCACATGGATGCAGGGGCCCAAGAACTTAGGCCATCTTTTGCTGCTTTCGCAGGCACATTAGCAGGGGACTAGATTGGTATTGGAGCAGCCAGGACTTGAACCAGTTCCCACATGGGAGTCTGGCATCACAGGTGGTGGCTTTACTCACTTTGCCACAATGCTGACACCAAGAGGAATTTTTATGTAATGGCAACACTGAGTAGAAAGCACAAATATTTTCCAAATACAGCAGTCCAGTGTGGATATAGTGTACAAAGGGATGATTCATGTCCTAGGTTGGGTGAAGTAAGACAATGAGATTTCATCATACCACTGGAAATCACAGGCAAATTAAAACACGGTATTTATTTCTTGATTTTTCTTAGAATACTTTTGGACCATGACTGACTGTGGATAATTGAAATTGTGGAAATTGAAACTGCATGTAGCTAAAGGTTACAGGCCCACTTTCTGCACATGTGATAGCATTCCTATCCCCCAACTGTTGCAGCTGATGAACCTATATTGACATATCATTATCACCCAATGTACATAGATTACACGAAATTTCTCTTTAAAAAAAAAAAGATTTATTTATTTATTTGAAAGGTAGAGATAGAGAGAAGAGAGGAGAGAGAGAGTGAGTGAGCAAGAGAGAGAGAGAGAGAGAGAGAGCCCTTGGTTCACTCCACAAATGGGCGTAATGGTCAGGGCTGGGCCAGGCCGAAACCAGAAGCCAGGAACAACTTCTTGGTCTTCCACGTGGGTGCATGGGTCCAAGGACTTGGGCCATCTTCTGCTGGTTTCCCAGGCACATTAGCAAGGAGCTTGATCCGAAGTGGAACAATCGGGACTCGAACCGGCGTCCAAATAGAATGCTGGCATTCAGGCAGAGGCTTAACCTCCTATACCATAGTGCCAGCTCCTGAACGTTCATTTTTTGTGAACCCTCTGTGGATTTTGAAAATGTATAGTAGCCTCTCTCCATTACTGTTTTGTACAGAGTATTTTCACTGCCCTGAGAATCTTCGCTGTGTCCACTCATCCCTCCCTCCCCTCAACCACTAGCGACTCCTGACCTTGTATATTAGCTTATTTCAATTAGTAAGATGTATTTAAAGTCTTTCCATATATTTTCTTTCTTAATAGCTCATTTATTTGATGCTTACTAATAGTCCACCTTTTGAATGTACCACAGTTTGTTTATCTCCTCATCTACTGAAGCTCATCTTGGTAATTTTCACTTAAAATCAATAAACCTCTGTGTGCAGATATAGCATAATTTTAATGGATTATATAAATTCATTTAGAATCATTGATTTATCTTGCCTTTTAATTTTTTGTCTTTACCTATAAAGAATTTTTCAGAATTAACTTGTCAGATATTACATTGCGTTTATATGGTAGTTTGAATATGGATAAGCAGAATTACCTCAGTCTGTTACTAACACCGAAAAGTTGGGCAGATTTAGAAATTAAGGTCTCCAAATTCAGAGTGTCAGGTGAGCAAACGGTATCATGTGTGCTCTCATTCTGGTTGACAACCCTCCTACCATTTACAGTTTTCTGCTGTACAGAACTGAGTAGCTGTGAACCCACTAGCTTTCAATGGCATCCCAGTGGCCTGATGGCACTCAGTTGTTTAGATGCCCTAATTTCTGGATGGCCTTTAGAGAAAAGGCCTAGTTCAGAACCCTTTAAGTTCTCTAAACTTCCTAGGCTTAGGGTTGTAAGAAATGTAATTCTGAAATTTTGTTTCAGCTTTAAGTGGTTTTAGTTGCAAATAACAGAAAGTTAATTGGTGGTTTAAAGCAATAGGAATTTGCTCTCTGGTACCTAACAAAAAGTAGAAAGCTGTTGGCACTGATTCAGTAGTTCCAAAATGTCAGAACTTATTTATTGCCTTATAATCTAAAGACAGCTACTGTTACATCAGACATACATACACATTTAAGGCAAGGCAAGGAAAAAAAGCCTGCTCTCATCCACATCTTGTCCTGTTTATCAGGAAAAAAAAAATTCTCAGACTCTCTCTGGAGAATACTGCTTTATTCTTATAGGTTGGAATAATGTCATTTGACCTTTTCAGTAAAGCTTACAATATTCACAACATTTTCTTCTTTGCTGTGTTTTTGTTTTGCTTTGTTTTTGGGCTTCACTTAGTGTCAATGTAGTATGTAATAGGAAAGCACATATAGAAACAGGAGTTCAAATACTTAAGTGATCTTGAACATTTAAAAAATGTAAACTCCTAGAAACTTTTTAAAGGACTTTAGACTTCATAGGAGTATAAATTTGGAGTGTAAACCAATCTTATTTATATTTCAGGGATCAAAGAAGTCCTATTCAACATCAGAATTATGACTTGTGGTGCCCAGTGGGAGACTGAAAGGAAAATGGCAGATCTCCCTCTGGGATAAAAAGATGGTTATTTCTGAGAATAAGAGATTAAAGGCATGGAGGAATTAATGCCTGATAATCTTGATCTTCTCTAGGAATAGTAAAAATCACCTGCCATGATTATAGCAGGTTTGGAACGGAATTGGTGACTAGAAATTGGTGAAGGATTTTAGATTTATTATGCAGTTTCATAAAAATGGGCAATTATTGAACAGAAAAGATTGTGGAACATGAGTGAAGATCCACGTTAAATCACACAGCCTGATATTGCTGAATCCTACTTAATTATGGTCTTTTGTTTTTCTCCTAATTTATAGCATAAAAAAGTGAGAATTATCTCTTTTTGGTGAGGCAACCTAGTTGGCTGATGGGAAATCTATTGGTGTTGCTGATAATGGCATAGTCCAGCCTGGAGCCTTGAAAAAAAGTATGTTGAAATAAATGATAACAGTCCTTTTCCCATTCTGCTGATTACCCTAGTCTAGACTTTAAAGACATGTTTAATCATCAGATTGATGAAGAGGACCTTATGGTCTGGGTGGCCTTGGCTTTAGAGACCCTAACAATTATTGCCTTCCTTTTTCCTCTTTTTCCTTTCCTCTTTTTCTTTTCCTTCCTCCCTACCTTCTCTTCCTCACTCTCTTCTTTTCAAAAATATTTATTGGTTGCCTGCAATGTGTCAGGAATGTTTTTGTGTGTTACAGATACAGTGGTGAACAAATCAGCCACAATTTCTTCTCTAATGCAATTTCTCTAAACAACCATGCAAACACATAATGTGTTTAAGAGTAGAGTGATAGATGCCATGGAGGAAAATAAAGAAGCATTATGGTTTGCTGGGATGGGATTCTCATGGTGAAGAAATAGGAAGTGGTTTTGAAGAATGAAACTACAGGACTTGTAATGGCTTAAATATGTGGAGTAAGAGTGAAGTTCAGGCTGGCATGAAGGTTTGAGTAATTGTATTGCACAATGAGAACAGATAATAATTTTTTTGGCTTTGGGTTCAGGGTGACCCTTGTGGTTATTTAATTAACATAGCATCCTGGCACATTTCTGTTGTTTATAAGGGTAAAGTTTTATGTAGCTCACAGTGTTCTCAGGAGGGTACTCCCTAAAGTGATTTTAGTTGCAAATAACAGAAAGTTTAATGGTGGTTTAAAGCAATAGGAATTTACTCTCTTGTATCTAACAAAAAGTAGAAAGCTGCTGGCACTGATTCAGTAGCTCCAAAATGTCAGAACTAAAACCTAAAGGTTGAGGAAGTAGCTTCATGCAAGTAGGAATAGTGTGCGGTTACTATATTTCTTCAAGCTAGAGAGAGCCATACCTCTGACAGAACAAACATTAATTTTTAAGTGATCTGGAGTCAGAGAACAAAAAATTGAGGAATTTTAGGGCAAGATGCCTTTCTCAACTGTGGGGAGCAACTCGGACTAGACTAAGTTACTGGAATTAAGACTTATTCTATGCATCTGCTCTCCCACAATATGGCGCTGGGAGAGGAGTAAACAACTTCTACACAGCTGCCTCCAGTTCAACCAATAACCTGCAGGAGCTGATCCTGCTCCTGATTGAAGGAGAGCAGCGTGCTCGGCATGTGGGTAGCAGAGTTGGGATTGGTGGAAGAGGACTATAAAGGAGGAGAGAGACAACATGCACCAGGAACATCTATCTGAAGGAACATCTGAGCAGCCCCCGAGAGA